TTCTTCTTCTTCTTCTTCTTCTTCTTCTTCTTCTTCTTCTTCTTCTTCTTCTTCTTCTTCTTCTTCTTCTTCCTCCTCCTCCCTTGGTGGTCATCTCCACCCCCATAAGGGTTTCCAGCCTTCACCTGGGGCCTAGAGTTCTTTTTCAATTGCAGCTTCTCTCAGACTATGAAGATGACTGCTTTGGAGAAAGGACATCCTGTCCTCCCTGAAATCTCTCCCCACCCCAAACTCTGCCCTCCTTAAATCTCCAGGAATCTCCTAAACTGAGACTGGCAACTCAACAACCCCCCTTGTACAAGCTCTCCTCTTTCGGGCGTCACGATTCTCTGTTCTTTCCCTTCTCTCTGGCCCCCTCACTCTATGGCCTGGGCTCAGGTTCTCTGTACATGAAGAAGAAGAGAAGAGGAGATTGGATTTATACCCTGTCCTTCACTACCCAAAGGACTCTCAGAATGGTTTACAATCTCCTTTCCCTTCCCCTCCCCACAACGGACACCCTGTGAGGTAGGCGGGGCTGAGAGAGCTCTGACAGAAACTGTTCTTTTTCAAGGACAGCTCTTATCAGAACTATGGTTTGCCCAAGGTTATCCAGCCAGGTGCAAGTGGAGGAGTGGGGAATCAAACCCGGTTCTCCCACATTAGAGTCCACGCACTTAACCACGACACCAAACTGGCTCTCTTAAGAAGAAGATCTCAGAAGAAGAAGAGATTGGATTTATACCCCGCCCTTCACTACCCAAAGGTGTCTCAGAGCGGCTTACAAACTCCTTTCCCTTCCCCCTCCCCACAACAGACACCCTGTGAGGAGGGTGGGGCTGAGAGAGCTCTGACAGAAACGGGACACCACTGTCAAGTCACACCCAGCTTGCAGTGAACCCAGCAAGGATTTTCCAAGGCAAGTGAGAAGCAGAGGTGGTTTGGCATTGCCTTCCTCTGTAGAGTCTTCCTTGGTGGTCTCCCACCCAAGTACTGGCTCAGTTTAGCTTCCAAGATCTGACGAGAATGAGCTATACCATAGCGTTCTGTTTGGTGTTACACAGAGGTGCGTTCCGAAGTGTTTCCCTTCCCTCACCCACATGTTCCAAAGTGGCACCGTCTCAAGAAGGTTGTGATTTGTGGATCCCATCTAAGTCGAGCTTGGAGACTTTGGTTCTCCTTGATTCCTTGACTTCTCAAGTGGCTCCTTCGGCCCAAATGTCAGAATTCTCACTCGATGCAGATTTCATAGCTCTGTTTAGTGTTACACAGAGGTGCGTTCCAAAGTGTTTCCCTTCCCTCGCCCACACGTTCCAAAGTGGCACCGTCTCAAGAAGGTTGTGATTTGTGGATCCCATCTAAGTCGAGCTTGGAGACTTTGGTTCTCCTTGATTCCTTGACTTCTCAAGTGGCTCCTTCGGCCCAAATGTCAGAATTCTCACTCGATGCAGATTTCCTTTGCTGCTTCCCCACCCCCAAGAGAGCAAAGTCTGCCATTTCCTTTGATTTCCCCAGCAGACAGGAACACAAAACCACCGACAAGACTGTCTTCTGTTTCAGAGCCTGCCTGTTCGTGACTCTACCTGAGGCAAAAGCATCACATCTTTCACACACAAGATGGGGCCTCTAGAGACAGGGATCGTCTCTTTCCTTCTGGCGGTAACCACAGGTATCTCCCCTTGAGTCAAATCTTAAGAAATCTCATCCTTGATGGCCTCGTCCGGGGATCAGTTAGGGACATTGATCCAGTGGGACACGGCGCCCAATCTGATACCAAAGCAATCCTTAACTAGGATACTCAGAAGTAAGTCTCCATTTTGTTTAATGGAGCTTACTGCCAGGAAAGTGTTCTTAGGATAGCAGCCACATTTAATTGGAAATGAGTGTGGTTGGGGACAATAGGATTTTGTTGGAAAGACTACCCACGAGGCTGAAGAAAGAAAGAGACAGAGACCTCCTCTGGTGGACCTTCTGATGGCACCTGGCCACTGTGAGACACCGAGTGTTGAACTGGATGGGCCAATGGCCTGATCCAACATGGCTTC